TCTTTTATATTCCCACAGCATCTAGAGAAACGTTTGCACAGGGAAAAATGAACGTTAAAACTTATATGATGCACATAAAAAGTCAAGATTGCAATATTCCTACAAGTTATTAACTTTGCACTGAAGAGAATATTAGCAAATTAACAGTATCAAAGCAAACAGTATACATTACTAAGTCTAATTAATGTTAGATCATCATTATTCAAAATAACTATGAATACTACAAGTATAAAATAAATATGACCCAATAGATGCCCAGGGTGTATATTTAACTTTAGGGGTGTTCAAAGGAGAAAGGTGCATGCATTTACATGTATTTCAATTTTTGCAACAATCTTTACAAAACAAATATGGCTATCATTTGGTGAAAACATGAAGAGAGCTTTTACAGTAAATAGCATACAGTGTAAAATCTAGTCAGGCTGATAGAGGTCCATAAATTATCTCAACTTCGATGTCAGAATTCTCCTTCAAGGTTGTTGTGATGACATCATTAATTTATCCTTACTTTGAACAAACCCTAATGATCTTGCTCCCAATTTCTGCTAATTCCTACTGTACATGCAGTACGTGTATTTTCGAGTAACTGTGATGGGGGGTGTCTACTGGACAGGGGGGTGTTTATTAGAGAGGGACACCTACAGTATAATTATGCAAAATTAACATCTTAAAGGGGGCTTTATTAAATAAGAGAGAGAGATCATTAATTGCAATCATGTAAAATAAATCATGTTCATATAACATTGAGGCTTAGCTTGCATATCAATTTGTTAATTTGTTGCACAACCATGTTCCAGTGTGTACATGTATACTCTCAAATACACACTATACAGTGTAAAATATGTACTTGTACAGAGTAGTAGTGATGTTGTGGTGTCCAGAGTTTTCTTTCAGGCTTAAAGTAGAGGAATGTGTGCTGGAGGCTGGGCCAGGCATGCATGGCACTTCCTAGGAGAACTTTTATGAAATAAATGCTGGAAAATGCTTTATCACAAGTATTAAATTGTGAGCCTGAAAACTTTAGTCAAAATAATGTTCCTGTACAATTCAGATGTGAAATACACTACATACAAGTGAGGAGGGGTAGCTGATTTTGAACTGACACTGCTGAAACCTCTGAATCATCTGTAGTCTAAGGTTAGTGTACACTGTACAGTCATGTAATATTATTACATTTGTATAGGTCAGTTTACACAACTGTACAGGTCAGAGTTATGTTCAGGTCAAAATTTTTTAACCCACAGTAGGTTGGTTCTTAATTTCATTTGTGCCCTAGCCCTGATTACTCATGAATTAGGGTTAGGAGATTGGCTAAGAGACAAAGGTAATTGAGATTCATCTTAGGTTAAAAAATTTTATCCTTAATTATATTTTGACCTATAACATAGACACAGCAAAAATAATTGTTTTCTGTTTGTTAAATTAATCTGCTTTTAGGGAAAAACACAAAAATAAAAAGTATGCTTTACACTCTGAAAAACAGAGAGAGAACTGACTGGTACATGTATGTGTAAGCAAGGATCATGAGTTCAGCAATGTTTTAAACTTACATGATGACAGTCTGTGCTCAAATCATCTTCCTGTAATAAAGATCAAAGAAAAGAAAACAATCATTTATTACTGAGATGTATGAATGCATGCCTGAAATCAAGACTGGTATGTTAGGTTTAACTTTTTCATTTCTTTGCCCCTTCAACCATAGCCTTACATGTATATGGAAGAGTTATTTACAGATACTGGAATGACTTAATGCTGGAATAGTTTTATTCCTGAATGAATTAAGGTCACACACTGCACTATTAAACATGGCAGAGTTAACGGGCTCAGCCTAAGGCATTTCTAATCAGCTCACATGGTTTTCATTCCAGATCAGAAAACAATGATGGTGAAAACAATAAATTACTATGTGTAATCAAATGGTGACAAGTGAAATTAGGGAATAATTTCATGCGCGTTTTGTCCAAATCCTGATTTGGACAAAACGCAACTGAAATTATTCCTTAATTTCACGAGTATACCATTTGATTACCTATTAATATCATGGGTGACGAATTACATTAGCAATCTTGGATTTTTGATGTGTTTATCCTAGATCGCATTGATCAAGAACTCCCTCTCTAGAACATTTAGAGCTTAAATTTAGCTTAAGTTCAGAATTTTTCAACAAAATACCTGTTAGAATCCTTCTTGATGTGCTATTTTGTGTTCGGGTTTTTAAGGTGTCTTTTTATGCCCTGGCATCTTCGTTCATGACATTTTGAAACTTTGTCGCCATCTTGACACTGAGAAGTACGGAAGGTTGCCATGGCAATTTTGAAAAAATTATCGCTGAAATTTCACGCCAAAATTAAGGACTAATTTGTCACCTATGATATTATGCATGTAATATCATAGGCGACGAATTACTCCTTAATTTTGACCCGAAATTTCAGCGTTAATTTGTAATTTCACATGTGAAATTACAAAATTGCCATGGCAACCTAACATACGTCTCAGTGTCAAGATGGCGACGAAGTTTTAAAATGTTATGAATGAAGATGTCAGGGCACAAAAAGACGCTTTAGAAAACCTGAACACACGAAAGAGCACATCAAGAAGGATTCTAACAGGAATTTTGTCGAAAAACTCTGAACTTAAGCCAAATTTAAGCTCTAAACGTTCGAGAGAGTGCAGGAGTTCTCGATCGATACGATCCAGGATAAACATGTCAAAAATCCAAGATAGCTAACGTAATTCGTCACCCATGATATTAAGTAGGTAATCAAATGGTATACTCGTGAAATTAGGGAATAATTTCACTTGGGTTTTGTCCAAATCCTAATAATTTCCCTCGCCTAAAGGCTCGGGAAATTATAAGGATTTGGACAAAACACGCGTGAAATTATTCCCCAATTTCACTCGTCACCATTTGATTACACATACTAACACTACATGTAACACCAGACTGGTGATTTGCAAGTATTAGTTCTGTTTCTTACCCACTGGTACCCTTACCCCAAATACCCCAAATTTTTTTTCAACTCTCCACCACAGATCCCCAAGAGGTTTAATTTTTGGTCCCTTTTGAAAAGGAAGTGGAAAGGGTTGACCAATCAGATACCATCTACTGCACACACTGTAAATATTATAAAGACAGAATCCATCAGAAAATTGAGTAATTTTAATTTTCAGAGGACAAAAACCTTGTCCCAGAATATTTTAAGCTATAATCACATTCTTTTTACACTTTTTTGCTCAAGGGCTATAGATTTAATTAGTTATCTGTAATAACATCAAAGTCAGTTTGCTATGGGAGCCTCGGAAAATGAATTTCAAATTTCACAGGAATGGAGAAAACACAGGTAAAATCGTCATGCGTAAGATTTCATTTCTTGAAATTCGAAGTTTTTGAAGTTTGTTTTCTTGGGCTCCCATAAGAACCTTTTCTTTTGAGTCATTTCAAGTAACTTACCTTGTATTGCATTTATAGCCCTCAAAAGTGTAAAAAGGATGAAATATTCTTGAAATTATTCTGGGACCAGGTTATTGTCCATTGTAAATTAAAATTACTCAATTTGCTAATGGATTCTGTCTTAAAGTTTGTTAGTTTAATTTAGGGGTTTCTGAAACAAAGGTTTCAACAAAATGGTTGGCACACAGTATCATAGTTTTGTTTTCTTTTATCAAGTGAAAAATAGGTAATTTTTTAAAGATCATACAGTACCATTCAAAAGTAAGTTGACACTCGATTCTCGATCCTCGCGAGAATCAAGAATAGAGAATCGAGTCGAGAATGGAGACTCAATTCTCGATTGTTGTGTCTCGATTCTTGATTCCTGCGAGACTCATCAAACCGGAATGGCCCTTGTTTAGTATCGAGTAATTCGCTCTCTACTCTCAATACTCGACTACTGCGAGAATCTACAAGTAACAACCTTTGTTCAAGTTTTGAGTAATCTTCTAACTTCTCTCACGTCAGAAAAATCTTTGTTCTCTATAAAATAACAAACTCTACTCAGCGTTTGATTCTTGTGAGAAATGCCTGAACTATGCAAATAGCAGTTGACAAATCTCTTGGGACAACTCTTTGCACTCGTTCGTACAGATCGGGTGATATTTTGCGTCGAAACCTTTAATTTGTTCGAACAGCATTTTGCATCATTTAAAAAGCAAAAGCTACCAGTTCACTAGTTGAACTTAGTAGAATTAAAACCATTGTTTCTCGAAAGTTTTCAAGGATCACGAACACAATTTCGGAGCAAAAGATTATTTACGCACGGACGTGTATGTTACAGCTGATCTTTTATCAAGCCAAGCGGCTGGATAAGCCCAGAATCATTTGACGTTATAAAATAAACATGATGTTGCTTGTACGCAAGTATTACACCGTTTGTTTGCATTTGGAGCAGGTATTTGAAACTTTAGTTGAGGAAATGAAGCTTGATACAGATGTCCTTGAAGAAACATTTGCTTTATAACTTGAATTGGCCTTGTTTCGAGCATACAGTCGCTTCTTCAAATGTAAACATGCCACGTTGTGTTACAGCTGTATGTCCTTGTAAAATTATCAAGAAATCAGTCATGGGTGAATCTTTTGTTTTCTGTCCCGTGAGACTCGATTCTCAACTTGATTCTTGATAGCTTGTTCTCGATTCTTGATTCTTGATTCGCGCAGGAATCGAGAATGGCGAATCAAGTCGAGAATCGAGACTCGCAACAGACTGTCAACTTACTTTTGAATGGTACTGTATGTATGGAAGGGAAATTTTAAAAGGATGTCACCAAGTTAGAATTGGTAAAGTACATGTTCCAGACTCAATTCCCCATGGGACAAACACTTCCAAGGGGTCTTAAAATAAATTATAAGTAGAATGTGCTGCCTCTTCTTCACATCTGCAAATATACACTTACACTGCACACTCTTTAGTATTCTCTGATAACTTAGGAGAAAAAAAAGCCCCATCTTAAAGCAATTCACTGATCAAACTGTTTTGGGACGTAAAAGAATACACACTGCTAAATTATAATCTACAATACAATGTACACTGTACCTTGGCTTTTTCCTGTAAGCAAACAAGCAGGGCAAAGTTGTTTCCTTTTGGAATTTCAGGACAAAGACGAGTTATGTCCTCAGCACAATCTGACTGATCATCATCCAATCTTCCACCACCACCAGCAAATTTGATTTTAGCAGAGTTTTCTCTGTTGTCTACTTTAGGTTTTTGAGCTAGAGGAAAGCAACACATACTTGAATTGATGTAATACTCTCATGTAAATGTAAACTCAGTTACAGTCACACCCTTTTAATACTGAAACTGTAGGGGTAATTATGGAAATTGTCAGTATTCACAGGGTGTCTGTAAAAGCGGGTCATGCTATTAAAGTAACAAATAAAATGTAACCTTTTATCAGAAAGAGAGACTATAATGGATAAAAGAGCACACCAGCCCTGTCAATTTAAACAAGTCTAACCTTCACAAAGCTGTCATTCTGTGGACTAAATCCTTGGAAACACTCAATAAATCGCTCATCTACATGTACATGTGCATATATTGCTTAATTAAAACCCTTCTTTGCTTAACTTGTTTCATGCCAAAATAGTCTAAAATTGATGTCAACATTATTCATCATAATCCAGTATACTGTAGAACTGGAAACATCAACATGCTGTCAACTGAAGGTTTTTTTGCCTTTAAAAAGGAAACATTTATTACAATACACAGTTGATTATGAAGTATTGGCATTACCGTGGTTGACTTTCAATGAGAATCTGTTAATTGGGCAAGAAAATAGTGTCCTTTGTCTGCATCAGGTGTTCGTATTAACTTGTTTGAATTTGAAGAAAATGTGAGGGCATTCCCCATGGACAAAGAAAACTGTCCATAATAACAAGGTGTCTGTATTAAGCGGGTGTCATAAAAGTGTGTGTTAGTAATGGTAACAGGACTGAGTGGAGTCCAATTCAGTCTGTAATCATACAAGTGATTAACAAAATCGGATGACCGCGTAGCAGGAGTCCCATTTGTTTAATCACGAGTATGATTACAGACAGAATTGGACGACACGAAGTTCTGTTACCAATTAATCATAACTTTAACAAAACTTGTGATACACAGTACATCTCAGAGATAAACGACCAAGGGACAAGCAAAACACACACACGTTTTTTGCGTTAACGCAAAATCGTTAACTAGTTTGAAAGCACGTACTTCGTATATTGTGAAATCAAGCAGTCGATTACTGTGCAGAATCAAAACCCTGTTTCAGTCTTCACCGAGTCTTGTAGACGTTGTTAAGCCTTTTGTTGCGGCTATTGCGACAACAATAAACCAGGAACAATACACTAGCTCATACATACTAATTCAGTTCTAATGCAAGCCTGTTTTTGAAGCGCATTAAGTAAACGGACTCGCATTACCGAATTTGTGAAAGGTTTGAGCCCAGGAGTCATTTCAAACCAACGAATTTCTCACTAACTAGTTTTAAGCGCGTTAACGTGGACGCTTATCTCTGAGCTGTACTGTACAAGGCTCTTTTTTTAAATCAAAATACAAGAAATTCCAAGTTTTTTTGCTAGCAGCAAGAAAAAAAAAGTCATTTAAGCACATGTGTGATGGCACGTACTGTCCAATTACTTAGGCATGACATGTACTGTCCATTAAACTGTCCAATTAAGGCTGAAATCAAGACAGATGATAGCCAATCAGATTTGAGAATTTTGTTATAGTTATGATTAAAAATAATCATGAGTACGCTACAATACAAAAATGCACTTTATTTGAGTGTCAATGTATTTTGCACGAAGGTGGTAACTGGGCAAAACAACAGTGGAAGGGGGAAAAACCGAAGGAGATGTAAGCTTGTGATTGTACTTTTTTATCGGAACTAACTTAAGTCTTATATTATGCTTCTGTTTAAGCTTATATTCAAACTAGGAATTTCATCCATTTTTCTACTACATGACAAATTTCTGCAATTTGATTGGCTTAGAGCAGTGGTATTTCAGCTTAATTTGAAATACCTACAGGTGAAAACTACAAACCTTTTGTTTGTAGTAGTACAAACAAATAATAGCATGATTTGTACGTGATATTTGGCATAAATACCACTCGTGATATTTCAAAATTGTCTCAATTACATACACTGTATAACAATTTTAAAATATCACTCGTGGTATTTATGCCAAATATCACTACAAATCATGCTATTACCTGGTGGTCCTGTGGCACTAAGGTAGAAATTTTGAGCTATCACAGGTGACTGTAAATTAGCCACCCCTATTAATTTTATCAGAGGCACCTAAGCGAGGAAACTGGACTCCTTTTGAATCAATTTGCTTCCTTAAATTTTCCGTAAGTGAGAAACACAGATCCGTAATCAATGATTACCTCTAAAGTTAATACTAATATTATTTTGTTTTCTTTGTCACTTCGCGGTGTGTTGGAGCAAATTTTGGTGTTTTAGGACTTTGGAAGGATTTGAAATAAAAGGCTGGCCAAAGCACGATTGTCTCAGTATTCTATATAATAAACACAATACCACATGGAAAGTGCTTTGTGCAGTATTTAAGCACTTGTTATTTTTATATCAGAAATTTCACAAGTTCNGATTAAGAAAGAACCTAAAAAGGCGCCGTCTATCGGCAAGGTTAGCTCATTCTCTTTCCTATACTCCAGCCTTTAAATCTACTCTCAAAAATCATATACCTTACGAAGCATTGTACGGTATGCACCGTTTTTCTTTGATAAATTAGCGCCCAGCCTTGAATAAGAGGGTCTCAATGGGGTGGTGGCTTTTACGGTTATCGGCTAAAATTTTGGCTCTTTTACGGCTATCGGTTAATTTTTTTCAGTTACGGTTAACAAAAAGTTAAAAATTAATTTCTTTTGTTTCAGAGAGTTAAATATTAATAAACCTGTATTTTTTGTATCTTCAAAGCAAAATTACAGTCTTAGAATCACCTCGGAATAAAATGAAGTTATTCTTTTGAAAAATTTTAACATTTAATAGATCATACTATTTATAAAGTATTCAATATCTAATATTTTACACATAGAAATGTCAATAGTCAGTTTAAAAATAATCTTTGTGAAAAAGCAAAAGCAGACACGCGGACGCCCAACTCAAGGCGGGGGGGGGACATTCATTTATAACAGAAATGGCCGTTTTCACACTAGGGACGGATTATTCGAGTGAGATGGGTTATCCGTTTGATGATTCGCGTGAGATAGGTAATACGTCTTAATTTGAAATGGAAAGGGTGTTCATTTTGAATAAACAATCCGCCTGACTTTATCCGTCAATTTTGACGGACAATTTGAAGATGTATTATCCGTTTCAGATAGCCTGTGTACAGCCGCCCCCTCCTCTCAGGCCTCTCAGAAAAAATCGGAAAAGGGGTGTGTGGGGGGGGGGAGGGGGTGACTGTACAGAAGCCAGTCTCAGACGGATAATCCATTTCTAGCTCTAGTTTGATTACGGCCAATAACAAAATTCCCGTGTCCAGTGTTTTTAATGATATCGAAGGACTGTACAGAAAGACTGTCTGCCGTTGCCTTGTCTATAGGTCTCATTATTCCGCGCGGCTAATGCGTTTCGGGTCACGTGGTCCGAGCGAGTTCTTTTTCTCAGATACGCCACCGAAATGCCTTCACCGAGATTGCGTGGGAACACGCCGAACAGGGACTAGGCATGGCAATGTCTACCTTAGCGTCAGAGAAAAACGGCGGGAATTTTCACACGGAATTGTTGTTTATCGGCAACGTGTTTTACAAACATGATTTGAAATAAAAGGCTGGCCAAAGCACGATTGTCTCAGTATTCTATATAATAAACACAATACCACATGGAAAGTGCTTTGTGCAGTATTTAAGCACTTGTTATTTTTATATCAGAAATTTCACAAGTTCGAGGCGCTCACTAGTTCGATTTTTCATACGTCAACAACTCGTGCATAAATACCGTATGCACACAATTTTTTAAGAAGTATTTTATGCGTGTGATATACATATAGCTAGCTTTATGCAGAACATTGTTTTTATTCCTGATGATACCATTGTTAAGTGAAAGCTTGAATTTTTATTCAAGCTTTTTTTATCATTATTAATTTTTAAATACACTGCAAAAGGACAACATGCAGAGATTATCAAAATTTTATCCTAATTTTAAACATCAGCCTACTTTGTCGTAAATGAGCAAAGCTCCACAGCTATAAACATTGTTGGAAATGATTCGATTAACGGAAGTTTAAACAAAAGCGTGCAACAACTGGCCGAGATAGATTCGATACCATTCAATATATGAACAGCTGTACGTGTACAGCCAGCTAAGTCTTTAAATTAACTTTACAAAAAGAGAACCTCAATTAGTAGAACACAAAAAAATTTAAAGAATAAGGCACTAACAGGCTCTTTAAGAAGGCTTAAAGTAAAACGTATGTTAACGATGATTCATCTCAAACTTTGTTTCAGCTTAATTCTCACCTTCCTCTTTAGGCTGTTCTTTTCGTTCCTGCGATTCCACTGGTTTTTGTCGTTGGTCGTCTTCCACATCTGAGGCAGTTAAAACGTGTATGAGCTTTAACAGGCACAATCAACACGACCTTACTTTGTAAACCCACGTTAAATGAGTTTCATGAGCCTATTAAAAACCGTCAGCTCTTACCAGCTTTCTCCTCTCGACTTTGGACCACAGAATTCTTCTCTCCATTGTCCGTCTGACTTTTATCTGAAGTTTCCTTATCCTTATCATCCTTAACGGGAATTCTAGCAGGTGAAGATTTGACATAATGATTCGTCAGTAAAAGAATTATACCCAAAAATAAGAGTCTTTGAATCAATGGCGCCATGTTGGTTTTCTGCATGGACTGTCAGCAGAAGCAGTCTGGTAACCAGTGTATTGGCCAATAGGAAAAGGATACGTCTTCTCACTTCAGTTCTCTTAGGAACTGAACCATTTTTGTCGAGTCTGCTGTCAAGTATCAAATTTTGCAAAATTCGAAGAGTTCTTTTCAAGAAGTCCTCAACACAAAATTGATTTTTTATTTCATTTTTATTTTCTCAGAGTAAGCCCGCATCTCCCTATAAAACATTATAATCTGAGACTCTTTGTGATTGTTCTTGTAATTAAATTCATTGAATAATAAAGTAAGCAGCGTTCAATGGAAGCTTGAACAATTAGCCACGCTGGCACTTGAACAAAAAAAAAGGCACACGCTACCGGTACTTTAGAATCCATCAGAGTCCTTTTTTCAGCTGTACCCCAGCCAACCTTCTAGCCTTATAACTATGAAAAATTAATTTAAAAACAAAAAAAGACGCACCATCTCTCCTGTTATAAAACGCTACCTCGCATTCATGCTTCTTTCATCGAATCAGTTTTTCACGCCTTCGCAGGCCATGAAAACCGTATTTTAATATTACCCGGGGCAACTATACAAAACAGCAAACAGTGCCATGACCGGGGATTTGGCGTGTTTTAATAAAATATCTTTATCGATTGATTTCGACCTTCCCTATTGACTCTATTTCGGAAGGTTCCGTTGATGTGAAACCATTCAAGTGAAAGTTAATTTGCCCAATTTGCGAGCAAATAAAGCGAATTTTTAATACATCTTGTGATACAGAATATACAGGATAAAAGGTAGCCACCTCGCCCCTGAGAACTCTTTGAAAAAAAAGTAAAAGACCACTACATGTAAATACATAGGAGAGTCGCTTTTGGGGGGCTTTATACATGTTACACTTGATTTTTTATTTCAGTTAATTTTTGTTTTTCCTTTGGTTTTTGGTGCGGTAATGTATGCTAATGTATTTGAAACAAAGGAAAAAGAAACATTAACTGAAATAAAGAATTACCTGCAACATACACACAAGTCAAATGCAGTAATTATAAGAACTATGACAGAAGAAACTGAGGAAGTTGAAACTGCTTTGAAAAATTTAATACATTAGGTTAATAAGAGCCGTAAAAACAATAAGATTAAGAAAGAACCTAAAAAGGCGCCGTCTATCGGCAAGGTTAGCTCATTCTCTTTCCTATACTCCAGCCTTTAAATCTACTCTCAAAAATCATATACCTTACGAAGCATTGTACGGTATGCACCGTTTTTCTTTGATAAATTAGCGCCCAGCCTTGAATAAGAGGGTCTCAATGGGGTGGTGGCTTTTACGGTTATCGGCTAAAATTTTGGCTCTTTTACGGCTATCGGTTAATTTTTTTCAGTTACGGTTAACAAAAAGTTAAAAATTAATTTCTTTTGTTTCAGAGAGTTAAATATTAATAAACCTGTATTTTTTGTATCTTCAAAGCAAAATTACAGTCTTAGAATCACCTCGGAATAAAATGAAGTTATTCTTTTGAAAAATTTTAACATTTAATAGATCATACTATTTATAAAGTATTCAATATCTAATATTTTACACATAGAAATGTCAATAGTCAGTTTAAAAATAATCTTTGTGAAAAAGCAAAAGCAGACACGCGGACGCCCAACTCAAGGCGGGGGGCGGACATTCATTTATAACAGAAATGGCCGTTTTCACACTAGAGACGGATTATTCGAGTGAGATGGGTTATCCGTTTGATGATTCGCGTGAGATAGGTAATACGTCTTAATTTGAAATGGAAAGGGTGTTCATTTTGAATAAACAATCCGCCTGACTTTATCCGTCAATTTTGACGGACAATTTGAAGATGTATTATCCGTTTCAGATAGCCTGTGTACAGCCGCCCCCTCCTCTCAGGCCTCTCAGAAAAAATCGGAAAAGGGGTGTGTGGGGGGGGGGGGGGGGTGACTGTACAGAGGCCAGTCTCAGACGGATAATCCATTTCTAGCTCTAGTTTGATTACGGCCAATAACAAAATTCCCGTGTCCAGTGTTTTTAATGATATCGAAGGACTGTACAGAAAGACTGTCTGCCGTTGCCTTGTCTATAGGTCTCATTATTCCGCGCGGCTAATGCGTTTCGGGTCACGTGGTCCGAGCGAGTTCTTTTTCTCAGATACGCCACCGAAATGCCTTCACCGAGATTGCGTGGGAACACGCCGAACAGGGACTAGGCATGGCAATGTCTACCTTAGCGTCAGAGAAAAACGGCGGGAATTTTCACACGGAATTGTTGTTTATCGGCAACGTGTTTTACAAACAATGACATCTCTGGGTGTTGTTTCACTACGACCTCCTGAAAATCGCAAATTTTAATCCCCAGCAAGAAGCCTGATTTTCGCAATGGAAGAAATTAGTTCCCCGAGACAGCGGCGGAAATGGAGTCTAGGTCTAGGTCACAACTTAAAGGCGCTTGGCCTAACATGCGTACGGAGTCAAAGTAGCCGGAAAATAAATAATGCAACAAAGTTTAGCACCTTCCTTAAAATTAACAAATCTAGGGAACAATTTCTTTTACGGTTAACTCTTTTTTACCCTATTTACGGCTAACGGTTAAAATTTTTCAATTTTTTCGGCTATCGACTAAATTTTTGGCCGTTTTACGCCTATCGGTTAACCCTATTAAGACCCTCGAATAAGTGCCCACCCTAATCCACAACCCCGGCCCCTCCCACAACAACAACAACAACAAACAAAGTGAAGTGGACAAGAAGAATTGGTTGTGATTTCTTTTCTGCCCTGTCTACTTCTCGTCATTTCATCTCAACCATTTGCAGATGTTCACGCTGTGAGAAATCTACGAAGTAACACCAGAGAATTCGCTTAATTATCTTACTGACAATGAGATAGAAATTGACTTGGAACAGTGCTACTACTGATTTCCCCGAACACCGAGTTCAATGAAAAGTTAAAATTCTGCCCTGGCATTTTGATCGTAGTAGCAATTTAAACACGGCAAATACATCAGGCAGTAAAAATTGCAAATATGTCACAAGCTAACTATACAAACCAGAGCACCCCGGAGAGTCTGCTCGCAGGCTAGATGTTAGTTTGAAAAATACCCGAGGGTTACTCGAGGGAATTCTTGGTGGGGGTGTGCTACCCGTTCTCCAAATCCTGACCCTATTTCAGACCAAAAAATGTAATTTTCCACTCACGTTTTCAGACCAGACCTCTAAAATCCATACCCGTTTTCACACCTGGCCTTTAGGCAGAAATTCTGAGCTCTATTTCGAATTTGCATATTTCCCTTTCTTTCTTACTCATTTGGAATTAAAACGATAAATACCTTTCTACACTCTCGTAGTTCCCTCGAAAACAATACCCAATTCCAGACCAAAATTGGGTAAAGTGTATACCCGTTTTCAGACCAAAACGGTGCAAAAAGCCTACCTGATGGGGCGGCACATACCTATATAGCTTATATAAGGGAGTACCCCAAGAGAAAAATACTAACTTCTGTATGCAAATGAAGTGAGTTAGGGTCATAAAATAAGGTCTCTTGTGTTAAGCAACGTAGCGAAATGAACAAGGAAGTTTCTCAAGGCTAAGGGTAGCTAGGGGTTTAGGGCTCAAAGACCTCGGTAGCCTGCATAACAGGCGCTTTATGAGCCAAGAGAGACGAACGCAGTGTTTTGCGCGAAGCACGAGACGAGACATAACTTCCTAGCACACATTAATTTGTTAGCTCTTCACCCTAGACACATTTCTTAACGATTTTTTTTATTTCAACAACAGAAATTTCTGAAAAAAGTACAGTAGAGCCCCGTTATCCCGAACTATGAAGGGAAACGAAAAGCAGTTCTCCAGTTAGCAGTTCAATTTATCGCGGGTCGATTGAATATTTCGAGAATATTCAATTTGCCATGTTGATAACTGATAAACCAGTGACTGATTTTCAGCTTTTCAGTCGGTATAGCACAGTGCAAATCAAACTTATTTAATTAGAAAAGGTTACATGATTACTTGCAGTTTTATGATAAAACGAGATCTGTTTGTGGCACCATTTAAAATCAGATTGCTGTAGTGTTAGTTCTAGTGTTTTTACCTGTTATACAACAAGAAGAGCTAATGGGATGATGGGATGGCATCCCAGTGGGGTTACATGATCCAGAATTCGAGTTATTGGGGCACTGATTTTAACTCCAATTTTTGATCAAGGGAAAGGAAATTTAGTTCTGTTCGAGTTATCCTAGTTCGAGTAAAGCGAGTAAACTTGACTGAAGCGTAGTGTGGTGAAATCCAAGGGAAATGGGACTTGGTTGGAGTTAGGGGGGAATGCGAGTTATCTGTCTGAGCAATTCGAGTTATCTAGGTTCTACCGTCAATGTACCGTACAGACAACGGGGAACAAGACATTTCACATGCTATTTAATTTATAATTAAGATGAAAGGATGAAATTTTTCTCTTCGTCGATAATCTCTTGCATGGTTGGTCTCATGCTCGGAGTCTTCTGAAGGCACCTCCGTACCAGGCCCCTAAACTCAGTGTTCCTCACACGCGAGACTTGTACTTCACGCCTATCAGGATCTGGAAGTTCCCGGATGCACATTTCACACAGAAGAACACCAAAGCTGTAAACATCAATCTGGCGTCAAAAGAAAATGACATGAAAATTACGTGTCGTAATATACAGTTTTCTGGGTGTTTGAATTCTCTGCTACTACAAAAGCTAGAATAAATATTTTTTGCCTGGTTACACGGAGCGGAAAAGCTGCTGGGTTAAGTTCATGTCGGTATTCTTAATTATTAAGCTTTAATACTCGTTCGCTGTGTCAATCTGCGCTTGTTTACTCGTTTTGACAGAGGATTACGTTTTTCATGGAAAAATAAACAAACAAAAACAAAGCAGGCTTGGCCGCAAAAATCCCTTTCAACCACACAAAAACAACCGCTTGATGGTATCACGACTTTAAATTACAGAAACTCCCCGGAGGTACTTTCCATAATGGTCTATACGGAGAGCACCCCCCCCCCCCACCCCGAAAGGGTACCGGCGTTTTCAGGCTTCAGGTATTTGAAAGGGAAGGGATTTCACTGGTTGAAGTATATGAAAGGATAAGGAAATCAGTCATCAATCCATATTGACTGTAAAAGTACCTACACTGTACAAGAGCTAACACAGGGATTTTTCACCATTGTAGAAAAAAAACTGTAATTGCCTATGGATATTTTGCCTGAAATCACTCGTCTTTAAAAGCGTTTGATGAGTGTTCTAGCACAATGTATGTATTATTGGTGAAGTGTGCCCGTTTTATTTTCCACTGGCCTATAGCTACTTTATGCACTCAACAAAGGTTTCAAATATCAATAATGGTTTGAAGGAAGACTAGCTGAATGATTCTTAATGGTGCCTTTTTACATGCATCAGGTATAAAGCAGTTTTTATTACATGTACAACCGTGCCAAAGATCACCGACCTTTGGTTGATTACTACGTATACCCCACCTGGGCCCAGTTGTTCGAAGGCCGATTAGCGCTTAACCCAGGATTAAATTTAACCCAGCTTTCTTTTTCTTTTGTTCGAAAGCATTTTCTCCGAAAATTTTCTCTGTTATTTTTAAGGGAATCCAATCATCAACTTGTTAACAGACAGAATTAAACAAAATTTACTTTTTAAGCTTTCATATCTGAATTCAAATTTCGCGCTGTTATGACCGTGGGTTATCCGCTTCACTCAGCTTTGAACAACCAGGCCCTGGGGTTAACAAGGTGTTACTTAGACAGCCTTGAATCCCTTATTTTTTCAAAGAAAACTAACCTTGACTGTTTGGTTATGTGTAAGCGCTTCAGGTGCGCTGTAAATCATCGCTCCAGGAGCCTCTGTCATGGTCTGCTGCATGAAATTACAAGTGCCATAATCTGACACTTTGCCTCTCCATTGGTCACCCTGTCGCCATAGCAACACATTAGCACTGCTGACATCCCGGTGAATGATGGGTACTGGTTTTTTATGATGCAGATAGTTAAGTCCACGAGCTACATCCAGAGAAATGGCGCATATTTCTCTTTCAGATAGTTGCCGCTGCTCCAACAGAGTCCTCAAATTGTTTTCCATGAGCTCGGTTACAAACAGAGGGCTTTCTTCGTCATTTGTGGCCCCGATAAACTGTAGTAAATGAGGGTGATGACACTTTGAGGCAATCTCCATTTCTCTATTAAAGAGGCGTATGTTATGTGGAGAAAGAATCAAATCATGGATTTGTTTCACTGCTACAGCGCACCCACAGTATACTCCTTCATAAACACTTCCCCAACCTCCCCTCCCAAGGCATTTGTCTGTCATCTGAATTTCGTGGCGAGCAATGATCCAGTCACAGTCTCTCAACTGCCTTTGTGAATTTTCTTCTCGTTGCTGCATCTCTCTCAACTGCCTTTGTAAATTTTCCTCTCGTTGCTGTATTTCTCTTAACTGCCTTTGTAAATTTTCCTCTCGTTGCTGCATCTCTCTCAACTGCCTTTGTGAATTTTCTTCTCGTTGCTGCATCTCTCTCAACTGCCTTTGTGAATTTTCCTCTCGTTGCTGCATCTCTCTCAACTGCCTTTGTGAATTTTCTTCTCGTTGCTGCATTTCTCTCAACTGCCTTTGTAAATTTTCCTCTCGTTGCTGCATCTCTCTCAACTGCCTTTGTGAATTTTCTTCTCGTTGCTGTATCTCTCTTAACTGCCTTTGTGAATTTTCCTCTCGTTCCTGCATTTCCCATAACTGCCTTTGAGAGTTTTCTGCGCGATGTTGCATCTCCTCTAACTGCTTTATTGAATTTTCTTCTCGATGCTGCATTTCTGTTAATTGCCTTTGTGAATATTCCACACTTTTCTGCATCTCCGTTAACTGCCTTTGAGAGTTTTCTTCGCGTTGTTGCATTTCCCTTAACTGCCTTTGAGAATTCTCTTCGCGTTGCCTCATCTTCCTCATCTGCTCTGGCCAGTTTCCCTCCTGTTTCTGCAGTTCCCGTAATTGCCTTTTTAGACTTTCCTCTCGTAGATCTTGCATTTTCAGTTGTGCTGCAAAGAGTTATAAGCGCAAAAGTGTGATTCCTCTAAACACCGAATTAACATTACGATACTATATTCGTCTCTAGTTTGAACCAAAATTTGGATCCGTTTTTAGCTAAATCTCACCTGTTTTTCCTTACTAATTTATAGAGTCAGTAACTGTGCTCAGATTGTGGGTGGCTCCTCCTAAATTGTGCAGAGAATTTCACACGCAACAACAATTATTTGCGGTCTGTTCCCATAAAGTCTGTGGTCTGTTCTCTTCAGAATTTGCTAAGTTTACTTTTCTGTTTAAGACTACAAGTTTTTTGTTATACGGAAGTTTAAGGGGCACGATATTAGTTTACCTAGACATACCCTTCGCCTCTCCTTCCTATTTACCATGTGATTTAATTTAAATGTTGTAATATTGTATCGTACCTTTACATTCTTTGTAAATTTATTGGTTACTTAATTTTTAACCTTACAGAAGAGAGAATGATGCCTTAAATGTATATTTAATTCTGTATTTCCATTTGCTAAGGTTTGGAGAAATAAGTGATAACTAATGAAATTTGCTAAGTTTTATCACCCAGTCTTACCTTTGATAGAAACAGGCAGCTCATCAATAAAGAACTGAATATCATCTGGATTAGCATCTTTAAGATGGATGGTTACACTGGGTAGGTTTCCAGCGAAGGGATGCATGTATTGTAATCTGCTTATAGTAACTGACGTATTGGTAACATTCATTGAACTCTGAGCCATAATGTCAAACTGAAACAGATTAAGACCAGTTATATTGACTTTCCACGGGAACCTATAGTCAGTAGACCATGAGATTCAGATAATCCTAATTTTACTAAAATTTGCTGATTCCCAGTCTAGAGTATCCTGCGCTTTTTTTTGGCACAGAGGCGAGCGCCAAACGCGAGTGACTGATGACAAAGCGCATTAATTTTATATTGATTTTAAATGTTTAAAGAAATAGATAAAATCATGAAGGGAAAGGTTTTCGAGAACCCCAAGGACCGGCAGATTACGGACGTGAAGGTGTGGTCGGTGGAACACGATTTTCCTTCGAACTTTTCTAATCAAAGAACATTATTTTATGTAGTTTTTCCATGGCCTTTTTGACTAAACCGTACTCATGGGGATATGTTTGAAAAACAACCTCGTTCGAGGGTTCCCTCCTACTTGTAAGAGAAAGCCCAACGAACGAGTTTGCTTGAGAAAAGTTAGCCTGTTCCAGGCGTTCAGATAGTAGAGCACGGGAGAAAAATTCACGAAGGAAAAAAAAAA